CTTCTCTTCCTCCTCAGCTCCTTCTCCTTATCTTCTCCTTCTCTTCCTCCTCCTTCTCATTATCCTCTTCTCCTTCTCTTCCTCTTCATCTCATCCTTTTCTTCTCCTTCTTGTCATTCTCTTCCTCATCTCATTTTCTTTTCATCTTCCTCCTCCTCTACTTTTCCTTATCTCCTTCTCTCCCTCCTCCTTCTCATCTCCTTCTCCTTCTCATCTTATCCTCCTCCTCCTCCTCCTCATCTTTCTTCCTCCTGCTCCTTCTCCACATTTCCTCCTCATCTTCTTGTCTTTCTTCTTCCACTTCTTACTGAGCCATCTGAATGGCAGAATTTATATCGATAGCATATTTGGATTTATTTATTTTTTTCCCAGGGGGGTGCCAGTTTGGGGCACTTTGGATCCCCACTTCCCTCCTGAACCCAGGTGGTTTGGAGAAGCTGGTGATAACCCGTGGCTTACTAACCAGTTGCAAGAAAGAGATCTTGAGCTGTCTTCTGGATGGTAATAGCCCGCAAAAGGTACCCTTGAACATTAACGTTTTTAAAATACCTTAAGCATAATTATTCCAGCACAACATAGACCATTAGACAAAGCTGGGTGAACATCAGGGCCTAAGTTATGAATGACCAGTTCATTAACTTGGAGAGCAATTGGCCTTTCAGTCCAGATTCTGTAGATACATTCAAATTCCATATACAAAATTCAAGTTTAAAAACTATTTTTAAGATTGAGCCTTGTCCGTGGACTGACGTTCTCCATTTCCCAAAAGAAGCTGCCTTGAATAGAATAGAATAGAATAGAATAGAATAGAATAGAATAGAATAGAATAGAATAGAATAAATTCTTTATTGGCCAAGTGTGATTGGACACACAAGGAATTTGTCCTGGTGTAAATGCTCTCAGTGTACATAAAAGAAAAGATACATTCGTCAAGAGTCAAGAATCATAAGTTACAACACATAGTAATAGTCATAGGGTACAATAAGCAATCAAATCCTACTAGGAAACAGTCAGTATAAATCGTAAGGATACACGCAACAAAGTTACAGTCATACAATCACAAGTGGGAGGGGATGGGTGATAAGGAGTGATGAGAAGGTTAATAGTAATAGTAGTGCAGACTTTGTAAATAGTTGGACAGTGTTTAGGGAATTATTTGTTTAGCAGAGGGATGGCGTTTGGGGAAAAACTGTCCTTGTCTCTAGTTGTTCTAGTGTGCAATGCTCTATAGCATCGTTTTGAGGGTAGAAGTTGAAACAGTTTATGTCCAGAATGGGAGAGGTCTGTAGATATTTTCACAGACCTCTTTTTGACTCGTGCAGGATACAGGTCCTCCATGGAAGGCAGGTTGGTAGAAATTGTAATTGTAATTTACAAAACAAGCCCTCCTAAATTCACGAAAAAAAATATCTCGATGTGATTGCAGTTTCCCCCGTTTTTCCTTAACTTCATTTTTGCTTCCCTGCAGTGCTTGTTGCTGGATGTCCTGTTTCCAGTTGTTTTAGATGTGATGGAAGAACCCACAAGCTGCCCTTATTACTCCTTCCAAGGTAGGCAAAACCATGTGCCAACATCCCATTCAGACAGCAACTCCTGGCCACCTTCTTGTCTCCCTTCACATTGTTCTTTTAAGTGAGTCGCATCCATTTTATGGTTTTTTATTTGCCACTGTTGTTAAGCAAATCTCTGCAGCTGTTGAACGAATCATGCAGTTGTTCAGAAAATCCAGCTTCCCCCATTGACCCAGAAGCCAGCTAGGAAGGTCGCAAAGGGTTGAGCAATTGTCAAGTCAAGGGGAAACGATCATAATGGAGCAGACTTTATAAATATGGCAGGCTCCCGTGTTTTCTTGGAAGACAACCTGGGCTGTGATCTGGACAAAGTATAGGAAATAAATTGCAAAGATGTTTGAAAACTATTATGAATCTTCCTGTCAAAGACAAGACTATGTTGGTTCAAGATGACAAAGTTAATAAATGAGAATATTTGTAGCTCAGGGTTGAGCTGTGGGGTCCTTGGTGCTCTCTGAGCTTGGCTGTTTTCTTGCAAACGTTTCAATACCGAACTAGGTAACACCATCAGTGCTAGAAGGGATTTGGGTTTCCAGAGGGGAGGAGGAGGAAAGGAGGAGGAGAAGGAGGAGGACTGTGGGACTTTGTGCTCTCTGAGCTTGGCTGTTTTTTTTTTGCAGACGTTTCATTACCCAACTAGGCAACATCATCAGAACTAGAAGGGAGTATGGTTTTTTGAGAGGAGGGGGAGGAGGAGGAGGAGGAGGAGGAGGAGGAGGAGTACTGTGAGGTTATTGGTGCTCTCTGAGCTTGTTTTCTTCCAGACCTTTTATTACCTAACTAGGTAGCATCATCAGTGCTGCAAGGGAGTGGAGTTTTCTCTCTGTTTATATACAAGTGGATTTCCCTGTCATTGTAGGTGAGCATGGTCTTGGAGGTTCCACTTGTGGCTACTTAGAGATTCTACGCTAATCCCCCTTTTAACTCTGCCCCCAATGTGAACTGAGAGCAAACCCCACTCTTTACTAGCACTGTTGCGGTTACCTTAATTTGGCTATTGAAATGCTGCAAGAAAACAACTCAGAGAGCACCCAGGACCCCTCATGACCAGAAAGTTTGGAGAAGACCAAGTTTGGAGAAAGACCAAACTTAAAGAAAAACGACTAAGTACCTAGAACGCAAGAATCGTTTCGACACTGTCTTTAGTAGCTTCATGGATTCCTTGTTGCCTTTCCAGTTTTTTCTCTGTGGCTTCAACGCGTCCGAGAAAGTTTGGACCAACTCTGGAAAGTCAAGGAGAGCCCATTGCTGGGCAACAATTCAACACTTCTCCAAAAGCTAAACAAGATTGTTTGGAACAATGCAGAAAGTCCAGTAAGGCACCATATTTATTTTATTTAAGGGGAAGGTTTTGTTCTTGGTGCTCTCCAGATATCACCCAGCAAAGCTTACGTTGCAAAATGAATGAGCCACACAAAAGCTTTCTTAAATCTTGGAAGAGCTGATGTGGTTTGTCATTCCGTCCTTATTTTTTATAATCTGGTTGCTTTGGTTGTTGATACTTTGTGGTGGTTTATCCTTTGATTTTCCAACGCCAAATGATACATAAGTAAATAAATACTGTTTGTATGTGATAATATGGTATACAAACAAAGAGAGCCAGTTTGACATAACGGTTAAGGCATGAAGCTAGAAACTGGGTGATTGGGAAGTCTAGTTCTGCCTTTGATTGAAAGCTAGCTGGGTGACTTGGGGCTAGTCCTTCTGTCTTATCCAAAGAAAACAAGATAATCTTTTCTGATAATCTTGCACAAAAGCTTCTGATAATCTTACACGAAAACTGAAGACCCCAGAAATCAAGTCAAGGCAGATTCAAAACACACACACACACACAAAAGTAATTAAATGGAAGAAGATGCAAATAACACACTGAATCAACTAAAAAAAATAAATCTAAATTTTAAAAAGAGGCCTTGACTGGATAACAGTAAGAGAGAGAAGACGAGGTCCAAAATATTAATGGTTAATTGTTCCCAAGCTTGTATCACGGTCTTTTAGTCTTGAAATGGAGCGATCTCTTTCCATTTACACCTCTTTTATTTCTCGATCAAATTCTCTCCCATCCTGATCCAGACGGAAGGAGTGAGCAATTTTGTCCACAACTCCTTTCGGATTCTCTTGGAGATCTACAGCCTGGAATGTGATCACTTTGGGGATCCAGAGAGAGCCCTGTTTAGAGAGTACCTGCAAAGAGTTATTTCCATGCCTTGGGAAGCAAGAGCGAGATACTTCGCACTCAGTGCAATTCTTCCCTACTTGGGCCCCCAAAAGGTAAGTATCTCTTTATATATAATCACGGTATATAAAATTGGTTGCCAGGATTGTTCTTGAAATGATCCTCACAATTTTCAGAATTGCCTAACTCTCTGTCATATTTGACAGCGATCGTTAAAAATCATGTGCAGATAGAAAGATACTAGACTGTGCAAGAGATGGATAAATCAACATTAAAAATAAAGGACAAGGAAGAAACAGGATATTTTTTAACATGGGACGTGTTTTATCAGTGGCTAGGCAATAGGCACAGTGGCTCAGCGGCTAAGACGCTGAGCTTGTCGATCAGAAACGTCGGCAGTTCGGCGGTTCGAGTCCCTACCGCCGCGTAATGGAGTGAGCTCCCATTATTTGTCCCAGCTTCTGCCAACCTAGCAGTTCAAAAGCATGTAAAAAAATGCAAGTAGAAAAATAGGGACCCTTTTGGTGGGAAGGGAACAGCACTCCGTGCACCTTCAAAGGCGTTTAGTCCTGCTGGCCACATGACCACGGAGACGTCTTCGGACAGGGAAGGGAAGAGAAGGGAAGAAAAGGAAAGGATTGTTGTTAGTACATTCCGATCTTAGTCTTTGTTCTTCCTGAAGTTCCTCCCCAACCTGTCCAGATATTAAATATGTCAGGTAAAAGAACCATGGTATTACGGATTCCGGTTATATCGCTTTGTGGATCTTTCTGCCAAGGTTCTGGAGATCTATGCGGATCTCCCTCGACATCTCTTCAACTGCTTGTCCACCAACCGTCTGTGTCCCGTCGCTTCCGATTTGTACAAAACTGTCCTACGACTGCAGCGCCAAGCCTGGATGGAGGAGATGAAGGAAAAAGTCCTGGAAGAACAGCTGGCCCACCAGTGGTCCAGGTGTTGGTTACCAACCTTCTCCAGTGCCTTGACATCTTCTGACTCGTTCCTTCAGAGCAACGCCTCCAGCCAGCTTCTCGGGTGGACGCTGAGAGCTTTCCCTGCTTCTTACGCCCTGCTGGCCACAAGATTTGCGGGCGGGGAGGCCCCTCAGCTCCGAACATGGGTCTCCTTGTTGAACGTTCAGAAGAGCCTCGTGGGAGACTTGCTCACGGACGAGGAGACCCTGGAGAGGCTCACCTGCTGCCTCGTCTCCCAAGAAGACACTGTCCGTCTGGCAGCCTTGGGCTTCCTCTGCTCGGCTCCCAAGACCAGCCAAGTCTTATCGGAGAGGGAGATCCAACTCTTAAAAGAATTCCTGCCCCTGAATCTGAGCTGCGATTCCTCCTCATTTCGGCAGCTCCTTCAAGCCACGCTGAAGAAGGCGTTGGTCAGAATGAGGGACAGTTCTCTCGCCGTCCTTCGGCACCGGAAGGTCAACCGGGAGGAAAGCTCGGTCAGAAAGGACCAAGAAAGGGATGTCCTCCGAGCTGTAGGTGAGTTACGTCCTAACCATGTTTTAGAGAGGCTGTGCCAGAAACAATGGGTTGAGTTCAGGGGTGGGCTGCTAGGAGTTTGCAGGGATTGGGGAGAGGCCCCTAGCTTAGATTCTGTGTAACCCCCAAATCTCATTCCTGGCTGGACCCACCCTCCCCTCCCAGGAGTCCCCACATGGCCTGTTTTGGATGCAGGTAAGGGCAGGGTATGCGCGGAAGCTCGGAGAGAGCAAAAAACAGGCCTCCCAGAAGTTTGGGAAGGCTGGAAATGGGCCCATTTCTGGCTTCCAGACAGCCTCCAGAGCCCGGGGAGTCCATTTTTACCCTCCTGGTCGAGCTTAGGTTGTCCTCAAATGAAGATCGTGTGTGGGTTGCGAGGATTGTAGCTGACAAACAGCGGAAAGGAGGGGGAAAAAAGGAACTGTTGACGTGTGGATTTTGAAATTGGCTGAATTGGCAGAGATGGTGAAATGAACTGGTTGGATTAGTGTTAATGGACTAGACAGCTTTATAAGAGACTGGAAACCGTTTATGGACTTTCTGTGCGCTGAATATAATAACAGAGGGTTAACAGAGGGATTTGAAGATTAGTGAAGCTTTGTTTCTTTCTTTCACTTTTGTTAGGATATGTGCAGAGTAACCCTTGCGTAAAAAGGTTATGCACACAGAAAACTGTTTATGAGAACAGTTATGAAGAAATATACAGCCACACAGAGTTGAACAAGTTGGATTAATGTTTACTTGAAGAAATAGCACAGTCCAATAAACAGTCCATGTCATGCACGTTTTTAACAATCGAGAAATATCCAGTTATAAATTCTTCTTACATCTAGTTATAAAGTCTTCTTACCGGTTCCATGTCTTTTACAGCAGACAAATATCAAACCATAATACAATAAATAACCTTCGATATCAACCGAATATCAAAATAAACAGGGTTAGTCAGTATCGGTCCATAGTCAGTCAGTATCAGTATAAAGAGAGATCATCAGTGCAAAAGAGAAAGAGACTTAAACCATGATCTATAGCTCCCTCTTATGGCAACTGGTAGCATAATTAACCAATCATAATACAGCAGAATACATTACAGTGTTTTTCCTTAAAGCTACAAACATATATATTTGTAGTTTATATATTGTCAACCCAACTACGTTATTTACATATACATAACAATTTTCTTTCTTTCTTTTCTTCTTTATACACACACACACACACACACACACACACACACACACACACACACACACAGAGTCCTCAAATTATGGCCACATTTGGGACCAGTCCTCAAATTATGACCAGAATCTCCTCCTCACAGAGAACAGAAATCAAATCTTTCTCCACCCAGATCTTCCCCAAAATCCTCATGCATCCAACTTTGTGTAGGTCAAGCAAAATATATCTTTCTTTATCTAGACTTTGTGGATTGGCTGCTGCAGCTCTGCACGACATCTCTAATGTCAGGTTCCAACTACCAAAGAAGGAAAACGGCGCTTCTTCTCCTGGCAGCCATCTTGGAGACCTTCACAGACACTTGGAGACCTGAGAGAAAGAAGGGTCAGCCTCCCCGTAAGCGGCTTTGTTCCACCTTCTCCTGCCTCGTGCTGTAAACAAGGGTTGGCCTTCAAATGTCAGATTCTCTCACTCAGCACAAGCCCATGTGGGGGTGTAGCCTTCAAAAATAGGGATCCCATGAAGATTGTGGTGGAATCTCCCCCTAGACTGGAGGGAGGGGTTAAGAAGGGGCTAAGCTTAGAGTTAAAGGAACA